ATCTGCCTTTGGCTCAGGTCATGATCCCAGGGTCCTGGGATTGAGCCCCATGTGGGGCTCTCTACTCAGCAGGGGAGCCTGCTTCTCCCTTTCCCTCTCTCTCTCTGCCTGCCGCTCCCCCTGCTTGTGCGCGCTCTCTCTCTTTCCCCCTCTCTCACTCTGTCAAATAAATAAATAAAATCTTAAAAAAATATTTTAAGTGAAAACATTATGATTCCAATTTGGCACATAAGTGACTACAAGGATGTATCCCAAACTATTAATAGTAATTCTCTTTTAGTTGTGAGATTATGGGTGACTTTTATTTCCTTCTTTGCATTTTTCATATTTTCTACAATTTCCAGGGATTATTTTCATAATTAGAGGACATAAGTCCAAAATATTATATACCCTAAAGAGAAAAATTTGAACTACATTCTGTAACAGCCTGCCACTGTGTGCACGGGCGAGCACACACACCACGTGGCGGTCCAGCATTTACAAACAGGCTCCTGCTGGCCAAGAACGTGCACAGTTGCTGAAGCCAGGAGCATGGTGAGCGTGCTCCGCCACGTCTGCATCCAGCCCCTAACTGCATGCATTCCAGCGTGGCCCCAGGCCTCGGGTAGCTGGCCCCCACAGGTCCATCAGCCATGCTCTGGAAACCCACGAACCAGCTCTGGGGTGTGACCGAGAGAAGGGAGGTGCCTTGATCAGGGGTCAGAGACACCTCAGGAGGGGCACAGGAACCTTCGACAGGGACAATATAGCACAGCAGGGAAACGGCACCCCTAGACCTTGGGAAGCCTCGGCTTGGATCATGGCTGAGCATACGAGCGTCTGTATGAACTTAGGCAGGCTTTTAACCGCTCTGAGCAGCAGTTTTTACATGTTTACACGGGGAGAAAGTTTCGCTCCCAGGCTGTCCCATTATATGGAGTTACATGAGCACAGAACATGGGCTCCCTAAACAGAAGCGAATGTTAAAGAGAAAAGAGCCTCTGGGACCAGTAAGACACTGGGGGTCCCAGAGACTCGCCTGTGGTGTACAGGCAGGCAGCAGCACGGTAAAAGCTGGTGGGAAGAGACAAGAGATGTGATCGGAGCAAGGAAATGGTCCTCTGGCATTTTGCCTAGCCAGCCTCACTCCCGGCTACAATGAGCACCTACTCTTAGGTAAGAAGAGCTACCTGCAGTGGGTCCCAGGTCCAGACTGGAGTCATTCAGCTCCTCCTCCTCTTCCCAGAAGTACTGTGGTGGCTGCAGAATGCGCGACTCTTCACTCTCTTCACTGGGAAAACCCGAGCCAGGGGCTCCCAGGCCAGCTCCCAATCCCATGGCTTCACTGGGCTCCTCTGAGTCCAGTGGCTCCAGGCCCGTGGGTGGCAGGAGGTCCAGCAAGGAGGTGGAGGTGAGGCCCTCTGGGCCAGGCTCATCGGACCCAGCTGCACACGTGCCCAGGGACGCTCCTGCACAGACACGAAAGCCAGATGGTTAGGAGAGGCCGGAAAGGCCAGACTGCCACAGGGTTAAGACACGTCTCCAGGG